ATTCCTCAGCACCACATAAGCAAAAAGAAAAAAGCCGGAAGTGGCGCTGTGGCTCAAGTGGTAGAGCGCTAGCCTTGAGCTGAAGAGTTGAGGGACAGCACCTAGGCCCAGAGTTCAGGCCCCATGACCGGACCCCCCCCCTCCAAAAAAAAAATGTTCCTCCAAAGGTTCATGTGTAAAGGCCTGGCTGACAGTTGACAGGTTTTTGAGAAGTGACTGGATCATGAGAGCTCTGATATAATTAATAGACTAATCCATTGATAGACTCTCAATTTGATGGCTTTACGTGTGTGTGTGTGTGTGTGTTTGTGTGTGTGTGTGTGTGTTCCTTATGAAGTGGAGCCTACCTAAGTGGGCATTGAGAGTGTCTTTGAAAAACATACCTTGTCCCCCTACCCTTCCTATTTCTCTGTTTCCTGGCTACAGAGAGCTGGGTTGTATTACTTTGCTATGCCCTGTTATGACAATTTACTTCATTACTAAAGGCCCCAAGACAACAGAAACAGAAACCCTGGACCTGAGCCTCTGAAACCATGAGACAAACTAAGTCTTACCTGCTTTAAGTTGTGTTTCTCAGATAATCTTTCACCATGATGGAAAATGACTAACACAGGCAAGTAAGATTTATTAGAAAGAACACAGACATTATCAACCATAAAAGAGGTATATTAAGTTTCATTAAAATTAAAGCATTCATTAGAAATTGTGTCAAGTAAACCTTGGAAAAATATTAATATATCTGATAATATCTGAGGAAAATACCAGATGTTGATAGATGAAAATATTCATCAGATATTTGAATGGGTTTGTGTAGGTATATACAGTTATCAAAACTTTTCAAATAGAACACTCAAAAACCTGTTATATATAAATTATATTTCCATTTAAAAAGGAAAGTCCAAGATGAAAGAACATGTATGTATGGACACTAATGACTAAAATAGGGTTGATGTCTAAATTTTGTTTTCTTAAATTTTATCCCAGAACATAAAATTACAAAACATTTCTCCCTCCTCATGAATATTGGCCTATATGAAATTATTCCTTTATTTTAAACCACAACAAGAGTAGTGAAATGAATTTAGTAGAATAAACTAGGATATGCAAAGTTAAATCAACAGTAGCACATGCAAAAGGATGTGCTAACTGCATCTAAAGATGTTGACTGGTAGAAAAAAGAACTTAGGCAGAGAGAACTGTGCAAATAAGCTTCCCTGATCTGCATTACTCACATTCACAATTTATGCTCAGTGAGATTAAAAAAAATACAAATAAGACCATACATTATGACATAATGCACTTAACTAATTCATCAGTCTTTCATAGATGATTATTTTCTGTAACCAAAGCACTGTCTCTTGCAATTTGTCTTTGTATTTTCAGAAAAATCTGGGTCTTGAACATTTTAGATTCCAAATTATTAGTTATATAACTGAATTAAGTAATAATTGTGTTTACTAGTTAGTTTTATGTCCCAAACCCATGGTCTTATCTGAAACTATTTTGAATCTCTTCACAGAAAAATGTTTCAACTAGTGATGATCTCATTTGACAGTTTATGGAAAATATATTAAAAAGAAGTATACTAAATGGTAACACCAGCCTAAAAATAATCATAGTATAATTATATTTCTAGATTTTTAAAAAATATATAGAAAAGTACAAAGGTAAAAAATACAAAACAACCCCCCACTGAGTTTAGTTTCAATCTCCAGGTGTGAATATCTAAAGGATAATAAAGGCAGCAAATACATTGTTTTGAATTGAATATCACACTGGCAAGATCAGAAAAGCCTGTGAACTGAGAAGCAACTTGTTATTCCAGTGATAGAACCTTCACTGGCATTATTCTTTTGGCAGCTGAAACTTCAGAGGATTTTAACTGTGAAAAACATTCTAAGAGCATTTAAGATGCTTTGTGGGCAGCCTTTCTTCCAAGATGTTCCTATTGCTTTCCCAATGAGCACAATAGGCTTAGGATGGCTAATGATGTTTTCTAGGTATACCAAGCACCACCATGATGTTCCTAGACTTTCCTCACAAAGCTAATGGCAAAACATCAAAAATAAACATCGCATTCTAAATGGGGACTCCCACAATCATGTTATTTTTGGGAGAGCAGCTCTCTGGTTCCATGGATATCACTTGAACAGAGTAGCCATGTTCTTCTGCAGCTCTTGCTCGGTCCAGATCCACCAGGCACATGCACTGTTTTCCTGAAAAACAGTCAAAGGGTATCATAAGACCCTTCTACTAGCAGTACCATTTTAGTTTCTTTCTTTAGAACAAATTTTACAAGTCTATGCAAAATAGTGCTTACCCACTGAAAGTCTTTCAATTTAATTCATGATCAATGTGTAAAGACAGTAGGCAACATTTCAAAGATTTATCTGCTAATAATTTAAAGAATGCTAATAGCTTCAAATGTATTTACCAATAAATGTCAAACTACAGATTCATTTCTTCTTCAGCTAAAGTTCCATTTAAAGATCTTTGCTCTGCATTCCTACAGAAAGACAGTGTGGTGGCACACTCCTGTAATCCTAGCTACTCAGGAAGGCTGAGACCAGAGGCTCATGATTTGAAGCTAGCCTGGGCAGGAAAGTGCATGAGACTCTTATCTCCAGCAAAAGCCTAGAAATGGAGGTATATGCTAATGTGATAGAGCGCCAACTGTTAGTGGAAAAAGCTAAGGGACAGTGTGCAGGCCCTGAGTTCAAGGCCGTGTACACACAGACACACAGACACAGACACACAGACACACAGACACACACAGACACACACACACACACACAGACACACACACACACACACAGAGAATTAACAGAAAATGTGACATAAAGACATGTCTAGAATTCCATGTATACAAAATTAACCCATCTTCCCAACAGCTATATGGCTGACATTCGTTTTCTTCCCTTATAATATTGTCTTTCCTTTAACACAGCTATAAATGTTTTCTTCACCTACATTTCAGTTTAAAATGAAACATTCTCTGACAGTGTTGGAATGTTCTACATCTTCCAGTATCCATCTTGGGTTCACACTACAGGTCATTTATCCTTGACTTTGATCCTACTCAAGTCATATTTTTCCTTATCAGTAAGAATGCTCTATTTTCAATTACAGAGTGTCACTGCAACTGGGATTGGTTTGTTGTTCTCAGTCCATTGTAGGGGACTGGTAGGCTGCTTCCTAAGAATGCTTACAGAACACAGAGATGACATGTACACAGAAAAAATGAGATCTGGCTTTTTATGAATCAGATTCTACCCAAGCCCTCCTCCCAACCCCTCTTCCAGTTAGCAATCTTGCCAAATATTCCTCCTTCTCTAGTCTAGCAGCTTTTATATCAGCCATTGTCCTTTGGTTTAGTGCTTAAAACTCACATCTACCATGAACACATCTGTCCACATATGAATTAATTTCACTGAGCTGTGATGGTTTAACTGTGTCCCCTAAAGAGCATGTGATGGAAACTTAATTCCCAATGTAACTGTGCAGGGACAAGGGACCCAATGAGAGGTGGTAAGTCCATCAGCACAGAGTCAGTGAATCAATGCTGTTTTAGAAGGAGTGAATTTATTATTACAGGTGGGCTCCTTATGAAAAAGTAAGTTTGCTTGGTGCTCATGGCTCATATCTTTAACACTACCTAATCAGGAAGTTTAGACATGAAGAATCTCAGGTCAGAGCCAGCCCTGACAGAAAAAGACTATCTACAATTAACCAGCATGACACAAGCAAGGAATGTCAAGTGAGAGTGCAGGGCCCTGAATTTAAGCCTCAGTAGCAGAAAAAGGACAAATCTGGTTCCTTCTCAGACAAGCATTTCCTTCCATCTGTCTCTAGCTCTCTCTTTGGCAATGTGATACCTGCCACCATGTTATGATACAGTGAACAAATCCCCACCAGATGCAATCCATGTAGACTTCTTACCTTACAAAACTGTGAGTCAAATAAATTTCTCTTAATTGTAAGTTATCCAGCCTGTGGCTGTCTGTTATAGAAGCATAAAATAGACTAACACATCAGTCTAGTGGAATTCTATCAAATGCACATTTCACTAAATCCAAGTGTTGGGAATGGGAAAAAGAGAAGGAACAAGAAAAGAGAATGAGATAGGAGAGAGCAAGTTCCTTCTGTATGTTTATGCTCAGAGTATGAAAATGAGAAGACAACCTCCCTCTTCCTCCATCTCTGGTCTTTCATGCCTCTCCAGATGTAAGCACCAGCTATACTGACTTAGATTTCAAAATTTAAAAGTATTACTTATGAAACATCATCTCTAAACGCTGGCTAATTACTTCATCTAGTACTCAGCCAAAGAAACAGCAATATAGCATACAATGAACTACAATGGAATTATAGAAAGAAGTGTGACATTGTCCAATATGAGGCTTCTCCGAATAGTTTTTTTTTTTTTTTGGAACGGTCGTGGGGCCTGAACTCTGGGCCTGGGCACTGTCCCTCAGCTCTTCGGCTCAAGGCTAGCGCTCTACCACTTCCGGATTTTTTCTTTTTGCTTATGTGGTGCTGGGGAATCGAACCCAGGGCCTCAGGCATGCAAGGCAAACGCTCTACCACTGAGCCACCTTCCCAGCCCTCTGAATAGTTTTTTTTTTTTTATTGTGAAAATACTTTACAGAGGGGTTACAATTACATGGGCAAGATAATGAGTACATTTCTTATCAAGCATTGTAGCCTTCTCCTTTGTTTCCCCTTCCCATCCCTTCCCAGCCTCCCCCCCCTCCCAGTGTTAATAATTTTAACTAAGATTGCATTAATGAAAAATAAAAAGCAAGTCAATGAGCTTATACTCTGTAACAGCAGTGTGATTAAACAAAGGCAAAATGAATGCAATGCTTCTAGGTTAAATCAGACGGCTGTAGTGCCCAAGTGTGCAATAAGTCTACATGTTGGTTAGGCAAACAGGTTGAATTCATATTTATCAGTTGTCCTCTTAGTAGTTTTTCTTTATTTTTTAAGACAGGCCTCACTCTGTAGCCCAGACTAGTCATGAACTCTTGAGCTTTTTGCTTCAGTCACTTTAGTGCAAAGCCTTTCTTAATCAGTAAGTAAAATCATTGTGACAATGTGTTTTGCCTTTAAAAGAGATATCTTTGTCTAAAATTTTATGTATTACATTTCAATACTCATAAAAATTAATGACATTGGGAGGAAAAAATAGTTTGAATGAGCAACTTTCATTAAGTTCTCATCAACTACCTGTTATCATCCAAGGGACAAAAGAAGAGTATAAAATTATATGATTTAAAGAGAAGATAGAAACTGCATGGCCTATGTCTTCACGGCATCTGTAAACATGTTTACTGTAAGTAAGTGAAAGTAATCACAACTCACAGAGGGTACAATTCTCTTCTACTGTTGAGTTTTATCAGAATGACTGGTGAGTTTGCTCTCTTTACCTGAAGTTAGGTTGTAAAAAGTAACAATCCTCCTGATCTAAGCCTCATACATAGTTAGGATTATAGGTGCACACTCCCACACTCAACTATAGGTTGAAAAGGAGTCTCTTCTGTATGCCTGAGCTAGCCTCAAACTGTGATCCTTCCAATATTACCTTCCCAAATAGCAGGATTACAGGTAATGAGCTACTAGAGTTCAGTTAACTAACCAAGTTTTAATAGGATTATTTATATATTTCTCAAATACTATTTCTTAGATTGTATACATGCTCATGTCAGAAACAACTATTTTGCTCAGACTGATGACCCAAAACTAAGTAATATTTTAACTACTTTTGGAAGAAAATTCTCTGAGGGTCTCTTGTGTTTTCATGTCTCGCAAGTAGACACTGACTGCCACTAATCCAGACCAGAGACTAGCAAACGGGGGTAGGAAGCCTATGAACTGTTCATGAATGCCTAACAAGCTAACTGTTTCTGATTTAAGGGGTTATAACTTAGCAATAATAATATTAATGTTAAGAACTATGAAGAAGAACAAACATGTGGGGGATTTATATGTGGCCAGCAATGCCTAAATTATTTATTTTCTATAAATGGACTGCTTGTCCATTTATAGAAAAAAGTCCCTCTGTTCCAGGTTATACTTTCAAGCATATTTTTATAGTGAGTGGCCTTAAAAATTATAGTTTTTCTCTGGAGCAAATAGCAGGAATCACCTGCCCATTTCCTTTGCTTCTTGGAAACTGGGCCTTGGGGAGTCGGTGTGAAAAGGATGGTGCCATGCTACAGTACTTCTGTGAGCAACAAACTGTCTTGGTTCTGCCTCAGGACTCATATCTTCTGTTAGCATCCACTATGGCAAGCTAACCTCAGATTCGTCGTCCATCTGTCAACTACTGGAAGAGTTCACCTAGAGATATATACATGAATGCGCTACGTATTACATTTATAAGTGATTTAATGATAGCTACAGATCACTTAATCCATTATAAATCTGAGGCAGAAAAACAGAGAACACAAAAAGTATAAGGCAGACACTTAGATCTTTTAAAATTTACCTTGTATGATAAAGTTTTCTTAAATTGTTCACTGAAATAGAGAGGAAAAAGGAAATAGTTATTCTAAATGTTAAGAATATTGAATAAACTAAATTATAAATAAAAATATCTATTGGAGCATTTTGAATTAAAATGTTGATGTAAAAATCATGCCTGAAATGTCTTTATAAAAAGATAAAAGCATATCTTATCATCAGTATGTTAATATAAAAGAATGTCTTTCACAGATCATTGAGACAGAGAAGAACAACTTGTCTCTTCATAGAAACACATAGTGTTTCACTCTAAGCTTTATTATTATTCAGGTTTTGTGGGGCCAATAGATCAAGAGGTAATCGTCATTGAAAAGGCACTTTGTTCTTTCACAGTTCCCCAGGAAGACACAATTTATAAACAATACTTGCCATTGTGGAAAGTCAGGTATTCAAAATGAAATATTACAACTTAATATAAACACATCTGTACTAATTTATCTCCATATTGACATCTTAGGTAGAAGAATACTGTCACCTTTTGGGAAACTTAAACTTGGAAGTGTTCTGAATAAAGCCGTAACAGCAAGGGCACGTGATGAAGGAAGCCCGTGTTTTGATGCAGTGCTCAATCACCATGTCTGTTGCCACACCACAGGCATGCAATGCTACCTAGAAAGTAAAATCAGACCCTACCATTAGGTTCATTCTAAACTAACAGAATAACCCTTGTGCTTTAAAAAAAAAAAAGTGACTGAAATTGAAATCCGTAGGGGACTTCAAATTACCAGAATATTTGTTATAGTTTAACTTGTTTCAATTGGACGTACCAGTGGCTATTTAGTTGTTCATATTAATTAAGAAATTAACTAAGGTTGAATGATTAAAAAGAAAATAGCACTGCAAATGAAGCTCAAGATTCATTCAATGGAAAAAAAGATTCATTCAATGGGAAATGTAATACAATCATAAATGTAGAAAATTGAATGTTTAAACTAGCACTTTCACTGATTATGAATTTACTTCAGTTATAGCACTGTGGCAAAAACACTGGACTTGAAGAAATGAAAATTTCTATGAGAATTTCTAGACTAGAACTCTAGGATGGCTCTGAGGCCCTGGACCCCTTAAATTTCTTGGGATGTTTGTCTTCTCAACTATAAACTACTTAACAGATATATTTCAAAATACTTTTCTGGATGCTATTGGAGTATAATACAATCTGTCATGTATATGTAGCATCTTTCTAGGATTTTTCTAAATACAACAACTGTTAATACAGTGATAGATTTCACAGACTGATTTTACTGGACTTATTTTAAAAGGAAGGAATGGAATCATCAGAATAATGATGAGGGTCTCAATAGTTCATAAAAATAAAAAGTTTTAAAATTATTTCAAATCATATGTCACTATTATGTTTATACTAATTATAATCTAGAGTAGACAACTATGATCATTAGTAGGCTAAATAAGGCAAAATGGGATTTGATGAAGGAAATTCACATGTGAGCATCCTGAAAGATAAAATTATATTTTGCTAGAAAAATATTCATATCTTTATGAATATCTCTCTCTAGAATACAAATTATATTGGGTTATTCTTTACTTTTGAGGGATGGATCTCATCAACCTTAGGGTAGGGAGAAGCTCTGAAGATGAAGTGGAGCATTTTCCCGAAGTTTTGGATATAAAGTATGAAAGCTAGATTTTCCTTTTGAACTGAAGTTAAAAACAAGATCACAGCTCTCAACTCCCCTAAAATTTCCCCTCCTCGTAGGTTTACATGGGTTACAGAAAATTCAACAATCTTGGCTGGGCACATGGCTCATGCTTGATATCCTAGCTACTTAGAAGTCTGAGATCTGAGGCTCATGATTTGAAGCCAGACCAGGCAGGAAAGTCTGAGATTCTTATCTCCAATTAACCTAGTTGGAGATGTGGGTCAGGGTGTAGAGTACCAGTGTTGAACAAAAAAGTTCAGAGATGGTACACAGGCTCTGAGTTCAAGCCCCAGGATCTCCTTTCCCCACATGCACAGTAACAATCTTGACGTGGCTGTCAATCCACCTTTCCTGTTTCATGCTAAGAAAGAACCTACGAAGGCTGCCATTCAGGGAGGGCAACAACAACTACCAGGTAGTAAAAGTAAAGAACTTTGATTCTTCATCTGCCCCTTTTATTTAATCAGGCTAATTCTTATTTTCGTGAACAGCTAGAGAAAATCTCATGGCACAAGTTATGGATGCATTTCCCCTTTTAGTCACTGAGTGCCCTTTATGTGCAGCACTGTATTGGGTAATGGCAGGCTCACATCAGCCCCCAAAGAATGTCTCTATTATGTCTCTATATTAGAAGTGAGGAACCTAAGGCTTGTATAAATTAAGACTTGCAACAAAACAGCTTGTGAGAGGCAGAACTTCAAAGCATGATCCCATGTATTAAGTACATCAGGGGCTTCTCCATAAGATAAAATAAAATAAACCCCTATTGAGGTTTGGAATAAAGAAAAGTTGAGACAGTTCTATTTCAGTAAGTCTCTACTTTGATTCACATTTCTTCTGCTACATATGAAAGACTGAGTTTCTTTCCCTATTTAAACAAATCTAAGCTACTTATGAAATGGATTTTAAGTCTCAGATTTAACTGTACCACATAATCCTAATTTTATTGTCATCAAATGCACAGGCAGATATAACAGGCAAATAATAAGAAGATGCAGACCAATAGAACTACTTAAATATGACAATTAGCATATCCAAAAAGTGGTATTTCAAACTAGGAAAGGTAGATTTTTTTTTAGTAAGTGATGTTAGATTAACCTGATAGCTCTATAAAAAATAAAAATTCATTTCTTCTCATCACATACAGAAAATGTCAAATGAATTACAGATTTAAAATGCAAACAATAAAACATGGGTGAATTCTTCCATAGCACAATTATAAATACTTCCTAAAGATACTAAAGTTACATAAACATTAAAAGGTAAGGTTAATAAGTTGAAAAATATTAAAATAAAATATCTTGGTGGCACATAAGCTCTATTAAGTAAAAAGAAACAAATAGGAAAATGATTTAAAATTTGCAGCATATAAAGAGTTAATGTCTATAATGTATAATAAGCTTCTAAAGATAATGGAAAAGCCCAATGATCAAGTATTAAAATATACAAGAGATCTGAACAGTTTACAAACTAAAACATGTAACTAATCCTTAAAAGTTGGCCAATATTACTCAAAATTTTAAAAAAATGCTAAACCAGGGGCTGGGAAGGTGGCTCAGTGGTAGAGCCCTTGCCTTGCATGCATGAGGCCCTGGGTTCGATTCCTCAGCACCACATAAGCAAAAAGAAAAAAGCTGGAAGTGGCGCTGTGGCTCAAGTGGTAGAGCGCTAGCCTTGAGCTGAAGAGCTGAGGGACCATGCCCAGAGCCAGAGTTCAGGCCCACGACCGGACCCCCAAAAAAGAAAATGCTAAACCACCTTAAGATACTATTTATCACCTGGTAGTGTGGCAAAATTCTATTTTTTCCTAAAAGTACAGAATAAACCAAGGAAAGTCAGCATTATTTGAATTCATTTATTGAATCAATAACCTTTTAAGTACTTTCTATATGCCAAACATTCTTTTCAGCATTAGAAATTGCCTGGTAAAAAAATAAATTCCAAGCCGGGCACCCGTGGCTCATGCCTGTAATCCTAGCTACTCAGGAGGCTGAGATCGGAGAATTGTGGTTCAAAAGCCAGCCCGGGCAGGAAAGTCCATGAGACTCTTATCTCCAATAAACCACTAGAAAATCGGAAGTGGTGTTGTGGCTCAAGTGGTAGAGTACTCGCCTTAAGCTGAAGAGTGCAGGGACAGTGCCCAAGCCCAGAGTTCAAGCCCCACGACCAACCAAAAAAATAAAATAAATTCCAACCTACTGGAAGAAACTTATTCATGAGGTGCCATGAATGAAATAATATTAATCATTTTGATACTTTATATGTGACTATAGAAAGTTACAGATTTTCTTGTTTAGGAAAGGCTATGAAACTACCTGCCTTATTTATTCTAAGTTTCTTATTTTTTCTTATGTGTTAATTAAATAAATTTAAATAATTTGTTTACTTACCCCAATATTAAACATTCCTGTAAAATACTCCATATTTGCTTGAATGAACCAAATGTTGCTTAAACCTAGTTCGTCACTTCTCTTCTTAGCACGAATTAATGACAATTCCTTGTTTTCTATTAATGTAACCTAGATTTTACCCAGTAGGAAATAGTAAATTCAGTAACATAATTCAAGTGTTAGGGTAAACATTACTAATATATTTCATAGCATTAATAATGCTGAACATATTACATTGATTTTCTAGTCTATGTCAGGAAATATACCAGATTAACTTGTACAAAACAAACAACTCCTTGAATTGTTCTTCAAGCATATGGTACAGTGATATAAGTGAAAGAAGCAATAATACTACCGTGTTGAAGTACTTAGTGGAAGACAATCTGGAGGGTTGGGACACAGCCAGACTAAGGAAGGTTTTCATTAGGAATTGGATATAACTGGGGCTTGCAAACGAAACACATTTAGATAGGAAACCGAGGCATGTTCAGTAGTGGGAAATACTGAGGTAAGGAAGAGTTTGGTGTGTCCAAAGAACTAATTAAGCTAGTGCAGCTGGACAGAGTATGTGTGATGGTGACAGTGGGAAGTGAAGGACAAACTGTACAGAATGGAGATAAGGTAGGAGGAGTCAGATTATGCTGTTTTTTTTTTTTTTTAAACAGTACTGGTGTTTGGTAAGGAGCTTTTAGACAAGCCTTCTACCTCTTGACTATGCTCTTTTTTTGAATTTAGTTAATTTTTCAGATGAGGACTCACACTTTATGCCTGGGCTGTCTTCAGAACTCTATCTTCCTACCTATAGCTCTCTTGTGTACCTGAAATTATGGATGTGTGTCAATATACCCAGCTTAATTGACAAGATGTTGTGTCTCTAATACTTTGCCTGTGCTTTGCCTTGAACTTCAATCTTCCCAATCTCTACCTACTGAGTAGCCAGGATTACAGGCTTAAGCCACCAAGCCCAATTTGATCATACACTCGTGATAAGAAGGGTCCAACAGGCTGGGTGCCAGTGGTTCATGCCTGTAATCTTAGCTTCTCTGGGGACTGCAGCCCAGGCAGGAAAGTCTCTGAGACTTATCTACAATTAAGTACCAAAAAAGCAGAAAGTGGAGCTGTGGCTCAAGTGGTAAAGCACTAGCCTTGTAAAAAAAATGTAGGGACTTGCCCAGGCAAAGTTTAAGCTCAGGAAAAGCAAAGAGAGGAGAGAGAGAGAGAACAGAGAGAGAGGAAAGAGAGGACAGAGAGAGAGAGAGAGAGAGAGAGAGAGGAGTAGGTTCCATCAGGTAATGACTAGTGTGGATTGGTGTGGATAAAGCGCAACAAAATCCTTGAGCAGTAACTGTGGGTGGAATGAAGACATTCTCATCAGTATCATTCCTGTTTATTATTTTATCCACATGCTTGTCTTCATAGAAGAACTTTGTCATATGCTAATCAAACCAGTTTATCATATCTTTCTTCCAGTTTATTTCAGAAAGTATTTGTTGTAATTGCTGCATACCATCTAGACAATTCACATGCGTTTATTAAAGAAGAGAGAGATGATATCCCCCCCCCAAAGACTTAAAAGATGATCACTGTGAAGAGCTGATTTAAGATGGCAGAAAAATAAAAACAGGACAAACAATAGCAATGATTGAATAAACTATAGTATATTCACTTTAAATGTGTAGTTACTCAAATATAATGTGTAAAACTACTAGCAGTAGAAAAACATTTAAGATATAGTATTGAATGATAGCATGGAACTAATTTGCATTTTTAGAGTTTGGAACAGCAAATGTCCATGTAGACAGTGATTTGAATTGCAAGGAAAGAAAATTTTTTGATAAGTCAATATGACAGACTTGGTTTTGCTTATTAAATATAAGAAATTATTCCAATTTTTATGCAGTAGATCAAAAAAAGAATACTAAAATATCATGCCCACCAACTTTTAGAAGTTATCATTTCTACTTAAAATTATCTTGAAAATTAGTTGAAAAGTATTTTATTTAGTAATGGGATAGTTATTTCTTCTAAAAATTAAACATATGCATATATTTACATGTTTTAGACATACTTTATGTGACATATATTATATAGTAAAATATGTATCTTTGTATTAAAAAAATTGGTAACTGCACTGTGGTCCTATTTTACATCACCCTTCCCCCCTTTAAGATTATAAATCTCAAAAGTTACTTCAAAGGAAAAAGAAAATGCCTGTGCCTCATTGTTTGAGGTGGTTAAAAGATTAGGAGCTCAAAGTCAGGCTCGGGTGGCTCATGCCTGGAATCCTAGATCTCAGGAGGCTGAGATCAGAGGATTGCAGTTCAAAGCCAGCCCGGGCAGGAAAGTCCGTGAGACTCTTATCTCCAGTAAACTACTAGAATACTGGGAGTGTTGCTTGGCTCAAGTGGTAGAGTGCTTGCCTTGAGCTGAAGAGCACAGGGACAGTGCCAAAGCCCAGAGTTCAAGCCCCACGACGGACCGAAAAAAAAAAAAAAAAGATTAGGAGCTCAAGAAGGAAGAGTAGGCTAGACTTGGGAAGCTGAAACTTGTTTAGCTATAATTTTTCCTTTATTCAGCTTTACCTGGCATGACGGCAGCATATGAGCAAGAACTATTCCAACGTGGCCCTGAAAAAAAGCCAGCAAAAAAATCAAATTAAGTTTAGTCCCCATGGATTTTGCTCATTTCATGATAATAATCTTATCAAATAAAAACATGACCTTGAATGTAATATAGAAAAGTCATCTAGTTGTGGACAAGATAAAAAAGATAAAAGTTGATATATAGTACCCCGCCACTGCAGAAATCCACAATTCTGTCACCAGGTTTAGCTTGATTCATCACCACATAAGCAAGGTTGTTTAATTGTTGCTGTTTCCTCAAAGCTCGATCACTAGACATTTTGCCTGCAAAAGACAAGAGATTAAGAGAACATTAAATATTGTGAGACACTAAGTATATACAGTTAGACTATACCACGAGGATAAAGGAGAATAGGTAAATGTATACTTATGTGGATACACATAAAAGAATAAATTACAAGTTTCATGTAATAGTCTATGAGAAAACTAGAGGACAGGAGCCCACAGATTAACCATATTTCTTCTGATTTTACTGTCATTGCTATCTTGTTTTTCTTAAAAAATTGTTTTCTAAAGAGTGGAAGCTAGAACTAAAAACATAAAGTTCAGAGTCAAAGTATTTGAGAAATTTTGGTTGGATGAAAAAGTGTCTCAGTAATCATCTGGCCTCTTTATCCATAACTCTTAGAGATCTATTAAGAAGACTGTCTACAAATCACTTAAATATACTTATAGAGGGGGAAGGAAAGCGGGAGAAAAATTAGGGAGGGGTAACAAGTTAGACAAGAAATGTAATCACTCCTTATGTATGTAACTGTAACCCCTCGTTACATCACCTTGACAGTTAAATTAAAATAAATGAAAAAATATACTTATAGAAAGAACAAAGGAGGAGGCAACAATGCTTGATAAGAAATGTACTCATTACCTTGCTCATGTAATTGTAACCCCTCTGTACCGTATTTTCACAATAAAAAACTTATGAATAAAAAAGAACCATAATAAATAATATTTTTACTATTTAACTGGCACATCTTTGAATACTGAATTCTCCTGTAGGACATGCAGGAATGTTGGCATATAGATGTCACACTATCTGAATTATATCAATGCTTATTTGAGGATTTTGCTTTTTTCTGCTTTGAAGCTTCCTTTCTGTATGAGTCAGACATAGAAATTTAAATGTAATTAGAGATTAAAGATAGGCTTTTTCCAAGTATGAAATGCCTTGGGCTCAATAGCATGAAAACATCTTAACTTCCTTTCAAAAGCCACTAGCGGCCCCCACAAAAATATCTTCAGAAGTATGAATGATACTATTTGTTTTTACACATCAAGAACATTCTTTATAGGAACAGTTTGGTAAAAAAAATATGTAAAGATATCAAGTTTTCCTTGCTCTATGCTAGTAGAAAAATAGTAAGTTATTTTTTCATTTTTTTTCTTACAACAGTACATTAGGTAAGAATTTTTTCTTAGGCAAAACAGAAAAGTATAATTTCCTAACTCAGAAGTAACATACACACATATATGTATATAAATATATGTGTATAGATAAATATGTATATGTTATATTCATAAGTTTAATTTCCATGCCAGAATAAAAATATGTTTTAAGTACCTTTTTCTTGGGTTGGGGGAGGTGAGAAATTTTATTTTATTTTGTTGTAAGGGTAATGTACAGAGGAGCTACAGTTACATAAGTAAGGTAATAAGTACATTACTTGTTGAACATTGTTACCCCCTCCCTTGTTTCCTACCACTTTTCCTCCCCCTCTCTGTTCCCCTCCCCACCAAGTTATAAAGTCCATGTCAAATAAAGTGTCTTGTAAGTAAGTACTGCTGTTGCCTTGGTCACCCTTTGTCCTTTATCTAATCATTTTGTTATCCCCTTCCCCAAATCAGATAAACATATATACAAGACACAGGGTACCAAAATAAAAAACAGTGAGCAGGGGATAAACCAAAGGAAAACAGAAACTGAACCAAAAAAAAAAAAAGAAGAAAAAAGAAGTAACTTTACACAGTACATTAAAAAACAAAAACAAAATACAAAATAAAAACCCCAAAAGGCCCTCTTGTTTCCAGTATTTTGGAGTTCATTTAGAGTGGCATCATTTTATATGGTCATATTTAAGCACCTTTTTTTTTTAAGTCAGTGCATTTTTTTCTACAGTATTCCATCAATGATTTATTTACCACAATTTACAAAACCAAATGCACTATTGTAATGATGTGATCATCATCATACAAGTGAATCTTTAAACACTTTTCAATTACTTAAGCATGGTCTAATACAAATTTCAATATGTAGAATTGTAAGTCAATAACAGTCTATCTTCATTCATGAAGATACACCTTTTAGAAGAATAATTTTAGCCAGGTATAGTGAGTGGTAATGCCTGTAATTCCAGTACTCAGGAGGTAAAGGCAAGGAGGCTTTGATGTTGTTTTTCTCTTCTAATATAATTGTAATAAATTTAAACAAGGAATGTGAAAGATCCTGTAATCCCATCCTTCGTAGATATTTACTCCTAAGAGATTTTATTGACGATTTTCAAACATAACATGATTTAAAATATTCTACAGTAAATCTACAGTAAATACTTATGTACTTAGCCAGTTTTTGTTGTAGTGGCAGGACAACTAAAGGGGGGTTACTTACAAACAAAAGGGATCTGTTTATTGCACAGTTTTAGAAGCTTAAAGTCCAACGAACATAGTAGCTGTTGTAAGGGCTGAGAAATGCAGGAGAAAGAAAATCACATGGCAAGGCAAGCTCAAGAGAAACACAGGGACCAGTATCAGGCTTTGGTAATACCTTCTCCTCTTGAGAACGTACTCAAGAGATCAGTATTCCCTTCCTGGAACAGTATTGGGATGAACAAATGATCTCCCACTAGTTCCTACCTCTTCCAGGCTCAAGGCCACCTCCCAATAAGTAACAGTACCCTTGGAATGGAACCTCTACCATATGAAACTTTGGTGATAGGGCTGGGTTCATGTGTGTGGAAAACCTTTGAAACTTCCACCTAGATTGCACTATGAACATTATATATTCCATATGTATTTTCACAGCAACCCAGTTTTCATTTGCAGGAGGAAAAATAAAAACAAAGAAAAGGAGAAGAGGTAAGGCCAAAAGACAGAAAAGCAAAAACAAACCAGCATAAAATGAAACTGCACTTAACTGTACTTTGTGGCATTTAGGGAGGCAAAAATGTTATTAAGTGGAACTAAGATGAGGAATTCAATGAGTAGGGACATTTCTGCCTTTGCCGATTGTGGATTTCTTAACAGTTCCTAGGCAAATAATTACTCTTGCAGCAGGGAAGTTTATTCAATGAAATATACAATAGCAAATCCTATAATATTTCTATTAGAAATTTAGAATTATCTATACCCTTAGGTCTCTCAGAAACAAATGCTGATGAAGATTTTTTTTTCCTAAGACTTTCTTTGCATATAAAATACATGCTGAAATGAAGACTGAAGGTAGAGGTACTTTTCAGATTTGTGTTTTAAGTCGAGAATATTAAGTTGCATATGATATTCAGAGAAACTGAGCTAAAAATACAGCATCCAGAAGCTCAGACGCTTTAAAGAAAAGCTGCCTATAATAAAGCATTCCCTCATCCTATTCCAGTTTTATAAATATTATGAGGCTCCTGGAAACAAGAACAGGATTTCAAATACATACAACAAGGTGGAAACAATAGTATTTTGGAATATGGTACTAATTTAAAAAATATCCTACTTTCTTTTTAAAATATTTTTATTATCTTTAAGTAATTGCACAAAGGAGTTGCCATTCAATGAAGCACTTTGTGAATACAGTGTGTCTGAATCAATGTCATTACCCCTTCCAAAATTATCACTCTACTTTCTATTTTTATTCAGTATCCTTGTATATGAAATATCATTTATAAGCATTAAATTATAATCCACTTTTAGCTTGACTAAAATGCTATTTCTTTAGGCAATGGGAAAAGAAACCAAGAGAAGAATGTTTAATACAAATAATGTCATATTTCTGAACTGTAGTCTTCAAGTTGGGAGGCACTTGGTTATTTTGACATAGTGTTTGCATTGCCACAAAAGATAAGTACAGGTTAAAGCATCCAATTTTTAAGCCAAGGAAGCCACGGTAAGACATCAGCATTTTGGGTTGATTCAATGCAACAAAAATTGCAAAAGAACATGAATGATAAATGTGCAAATGTGCAGCCAAGATTATCTAATATTTTATATCCAAAATTAAGCAGATTTTTTGTTTCTTAGCCTGAACCTACATATGAAATACATTGCCTGTTGTAATTTGTAAAGAAGAAAATGGTTGGATACACACACACACACACACACACACACACACACACACACACACACACACTTATTAAAGTTCTTTACTAAAGATTCTCTCCCTGTTCTGTTTCCAAGACATTTTTTGAGTTGGAGCATGAGTGTTCTATGATTTCGTGAACATTAAATATGGAAACAGAAAAAAAACTAAAACTAATGGTTTAGAGATTTACAAAACATTTTTGTTTGAAAATTTTATAAAATCAAAAGATTTGCAAAAGCAAATTTCTCAAAAAGAAAATTGTACAGACAAGGTACTATTAATTAGGACCTTTGACAGGTGAAAGAGAAGGTGACAACTATAAATTTTAATGTTTAAAAAAAGGCTTGATAGCAGTAAGAAAGGAAAGTTGATGAACAATCTTTTATTGGGTTGTAACAGGGTAATTAACGGTGATTCCAGGTTCCATCACAGGGTATCTATGATTTCCTCCTTAGAAAAGAGTAGGTGCTAAGGCACCTCCTCTCTTGTCAAGTAGTCCATTTCCTTCAAATGAAGAAAAACAAAATCTCTGTCCTAAAGGAGCCTCCAGGGTATCTATGAAAATGTATGTGTATTAACTCTGGGCAAAAAAAGTACTCATGCTGAAGATGAAGGATTAACTGCTTGACACATTAGAGAAGAACTTCAGAGACTTGGAACCTTTCAGTTGACTATTTCAAGGATAACAGAAATTCATCAGATATAATAGGTCAGGGAAGACATGCCAAGAACAGTCTAGCTTATTTAAGGGAAAACTACAATTAACCCATTTGTGTTTGGAAGGGAAGATATGAGGAGGTAGTAAAATTTCAAACAGACCTGTAAATATAAGCAGGTCAAGCTGGGAAAAGGTTATGCTTTTGCCTCTTTACATCCAAAGAAACGTAGTCTTGCTTTAATATTTAATGTCAAGGGCTCAGCAGTCCTTTGAGACTAGTTCTGTCTGAATTGATAATATCACTATATTATTACCTACCAAAAA